TTTCTTCAACAAACTCTGAGGGCCACAAAAGTGCTGCTAGTGATGTTGAGAAAAGAGCTGTTGAGATTTTTTCACATATACACGCACCATCGTGACCTTTCGCATCACATAACTGTTGTTGCAGTCCTGTGGAAGAACTGGAACATTTTCCCTCTGTTAGGTATCTTCTGGTCTCTGGTGCTCCCTCTGGGAAGAGCATGCCATTTTGCTTTTCCACAGAGCCTCTTCTGGAGTTGCTCATTTTCTCTGTGAATGTAAACTGCCTGCCTAAATTACCAGAGAACAGATACGGTTCACTTTCAGTTTCCACCCTCAACAGGACACAGACGTAGTGCTTCAAGCAACAGAGTAAGATGAATTGTTCGCTGCCATTGCTTTTGCTTATAGTTCTAGAGGAAAGAAGCCTCTCTTCTAAGAGGAAAGTCCTAGATTGTCTTAGGCTAAGTCAAAGTAAGCCTATTACACCCCCGATCAGGGTAAAAGGTTTTAAGGGAAGTAGTTAACAGAATGCAATTAATGAATAGCTATGTCTTGTTCTATTCTTGGGAGTGGGGCTTTTCTTCTCAACAGGTCTCTTCCAGGCCAATTCAAACTTGCTGTCTGAGCAGAGAAGGGGGAGAGCAGAAAACATGGGTAATCTTATTATTTCTAATTCCACAGAAGAAAAATTTTCCCCAACTTTGCCTACTTTTTTTTTTATCTCATCCTAAGTAATTTTGAAGGAGTCTTCCACTAATGAAAGTGGAAGGTACTGTAACAATCCCGTGGCATGAAGCTTTCCAGACTCTACAGAAAACTGCAGTGTCTTGATTCTTTGGGCTGCCTTAGACTCTGTGCAGAAATACAGACTCCTGGCAGTTGGCAGCATAACTAGCTCAGTAAGGACCTGGTGTAATTTACTACTGCATGAGTAGCTTTCCAAAACTCTCTTTACTTCAGGAACAGTCAGTAAAATCCTCATGTGGTACAGATGCCTATTTCCAACCAATACAGTCCTGTACACCTATGGCAATACAACCATTCTAAGTGACACTGCATATCTATAGCATGAGATTGTACTAATCCAATTGTTCTGAGGTTTTTTTTTTTATTAAGAATTAAATGAGGGGAAAGTATGTGTGGTCCAGACCATGTAACTTTAAAAAAACATGCTCTCAGTTCCCTAACAACTGCTCCTATTCTATCCGGAATGGACTTTTTATTTTAATTTTATTTTTTTTTCAGGGGGCAGCCTCTTTCTCTACAGAAAAAGGAGATTTAATTTAAAGAGTTCAGGACAGTGTTTTTGTTTGGTTCTGTTTCTTTTAGTGAGCAATGGAGGAGCTCTGTTTTTTCCAGCAAAGAGTTGATTGTAGAGGATGTACAGAGAGGGAATGTTTTTACTGCTAAAGAAAGTTAGAAAAGCAGGTAAGCAGATCTTTCTTGTGGACATAATCTCTTTTTAATTGCACTTGATGTAACAGGAGACAGACAAAAAAATCTAACCTCAAGAAATTTCACAGTAACTTTGGAGTCTAAAAGAAAAATCTAATTTCTTTCTGCAAGTAATAATTCTGATCCGAAGCAGCTCCCTCTGCAAGTCCTTTTTCTGGTCAAATCTAGAGTGGTACTTCTCAGAGAAGCATTGGATGATATGGTGGCATATGTGATTATGTTACAAGGGGAATTATGATGGATTCCCTCCAGCAGTACCCAAACCCCCACCCCCTTTACACGGTGTTCCTAGCATTATAAGATCAGCATTAAACTGCTTTTGTATCACCTGTTAGTGTTAGTGTATACTGATTAATGTGGAAAAAAAAATCTCAAAACTGAGAGCAGATTTAAGAATAATTTTCCTCTTTCAAAGTCAAGGTGATACACCACTGATAGATGGCCTTGCCCGTGTTGGAGATGTGCTCCTGAAGTGTCTGACATTCCATGGCACAGCAAAGAAAACCCAGCCTTTGCAGGAGACATTCATTTTCTTTTTTTGTCATTTGTAGCTTGGTGCCTTGGAGAGAAAATAACCTCAATATAATACGTAAAGAGGCTGCTAAGAACACAAGAGCAACAGGGGCTGCTTTAGTTTACTAGGTATTTAAAAATGAAATGCACATCTCTCTTTATTTTGTATTAATACACTGTAATTGCTTTACAGAGTCCAGCATATCAGTTGCATGTAAATACTACAGATAAACTTGCCAAACTGGAACTCACAAAACTAGTGCATTTATCCCAAAGCAGAGACTAAACCCTCTAACTCCTTAAAAAAATACATTAAAGAACGTACCACACACACACATATTGCACTTTTCTCCATAGGAAATTTTTGCCCCATATACATCACACCAAAGTCTCTTCAAAGGAGTCTGCAATACGAGATAATAAAGCTAATAATTACTCTAACAGTAGTGTACACAGTTCTCTAATGTTAGACATAACAGATTCGAACAAAAAAGCCACTTCAAAGTAGTACGAAGTGGTGCCCAATGGATACTCTGCCATATCAGAAGGCAGTAGAAGCCTTTTATCCTAATTGGCTTAAAGAAAATGACATGAAATGTTAAATATGCTTTTGGTTGAGGGGAAGAGTCAGTCTAAACTACATTAAAAAAACCACTCTAGCTTCCCCCTTACCAGCACTGCAAAGCTCAAACGAGCTTAGAATACTTGGCACATTCTGATAAATGAATTGCAGAACTCAATAACAGAATTATTTTTATCTTTGAGGCCTGAAATGTATAGTATCCTGGAGTGGGATGGGGAAGGAGGTGGTTATAGTTATGGCAGTAAACCAGCTCCTGGAGCAGAACTGGGCCTGTCTCCAGAGGTGTTGGGAGTCCCGTTAGCAGTTTTCACTGCGTGGTTCCTTGAGTGCTTGGTCAGATATTAAAATTCCAGACAGTTTTTATGATGCTGTCGGGTAGGGAAGAAGGAAGGAAAGGACAGGACTCTCGTTACCTCTCTTTCTTTTTTTGCAGTAGTGAAATGCCTGGTATGTGATGCTGCAGTATTTGCCAAGCTGTTTCCCATCCCTTTGTTAGTCACTTAAGGTGTCATAGGGGTTTCCGTGTTCTATTTACTGCGTCAGGTGAGTTTCCTTTTGAAGGGAAACCACACAATAAAATCCTTTTCTATCTCTCTCAGCTATATAAAGTAGAGCTTTCTAGCCCTCTCTATCTTGTGTCGCATAAGTAGTATATGCATGTGATCCCTGTTCTTTAAACTCCCCTTTGCTGATGCCTTGAGAATCACTGTGGTATCAGAGGTAGAAGCTGAGCACTTAAAGGACTCGGTCCTGTTGCACAACTGGACCAGTATCAGAGCAGGTGACACAGCAACAGGAGTTGCCTCTCTGATTGTCATATACAGGAAGCAAGGTGCCTTTCTGCCAGTTGTTGAACCCCCTCCCTCCTTCACACAGCCTACAACACAGTGACTAAAGTCCTACTACTCCCAATTTAAATGTGGTCTTATTGCTGTAAATGCTGGCTGATTACGCACCTTTCTACGCTCTCATTATTTGTAGTATCAAAGACCTTAGACTTTCCAGCAAACCGTGGTGTTTTCTACATGTGTGATCAGTACAGTTTCTCTGCCATTCTTTGTGCTTTAATTAATCTGCAATTGTGCTTAACATTTGCTCAGAAAAGGGCTGAACTGTCTAGCTGTGAGCCTTGTTTGTCTATCATCCCACAATGTCCCACAATACTTAGAAGCTAAAGACAAAGCCCAAACTAGAGATCTAAACTTTCTGCAGATTCCAAACCATCTCCTATGACTCACATTTAATGACTGAAAGTTCTGGAGACACAACTGCTTGTTGAGTTTAGTATGTCTTGAAATAGTTGATACATCAACAGTTCGTGATGCTAAATATTGCTGTAATACTTTCAATGCCATATATACATGAGCAATCAAAACACTAAGAAAGTTAAATGTTTATGTTCCACATGGTGGAACGTGTGCTCTGAAGGGACTTTGGCTATAGCAAGGATATAAATGGGGTATTGTCTACTTTCTTCAGAAAAAAAGCATATAGGCTGATAAAGAACTGAAAAAGGCACAGCACTATCACTTCACAGGGGTTTTCTTCAGCTCATTGTTTTTATCCTTAAGTTCTAAAACCCTAAATAACTGTCCAAATATACAAAGCTCAATAAACCACCAGCAACACATACTGCAAATTCAAAACACAGTTTTGTTTGCTTGTTTTTAAAATGCAACAGAAGGACAGATGGATCCTTTCCAGTGATTGGAACTTCTCCAAGACAGAGCCCTCCACAAAGGCCTGCCTGCAAAAAGGGCTGATTTCAAAAGCCACCCAGGTGGAATTTTATTTTATTATTTTTTTTTTTTTTTTAAATGCCATTGGCTGCAGCTCTTGACTTTTCTCATGGTACTTCTTACCTTCTAACTCTCTGTTAGCTAATCCTTTATCCTTTAGTATTCTGATCCCCACCCAGAGGTCTCTACAACCACTGTGGTGCCCTGTGTCAGTTCCAGGTATCTTTTGACAAAGTCAAGATATCATTTAGCAGAGATCCAGAAGCTTCCCTTAGTGGACAATTAAGAGTTCCTTGGCAGGCTTGGGAAATACTGTTTACTTGCTAGCAGGAGAGAGCAGAGGCTGCCTGAGATGCCTGGAGATCTCGGAAACTTACCATGGAGTAGTTCCAGATCAGTAGCTTAACCAGCAATTGGATGCCAAAGTGCAACTTTCCTTTAATTCCACCTCACGCTACTGTTTCAAGAGTATGACAGTTGCCATCAGCGCAGACTCAAGTCTACCCTGAATTTCAATGAAAACTATTGCTTTTATTGCCAAGAAGTACAATACAATGTGCACTGATTCTTGTTTCTCCAAGTGAATGTCAGATGAACGCTGACAAACTCCCAATTTTTTTGGAAGTGGCTATTTCCTTCCTCTAATTCACTTTTTTTGCCTCCTTCTATGCAAGCTTCTTTGTGGGATGAAACCACCTGGTCTGTTCTCTAGCCCCTGCCACCGGCAAGAGGAGCTAGCGGCCAAACACTTCTTGCCACCTCATGCTTTGTTTTCCAGTCAGGTGGATTTTCAGTTCCCCTGTTAATTCAAGGGTTGAAAAATTACCATGAACTCTGGGGTAGGAACAAAAACAAAAATTCACATGCTTCTCCATAGGTCCTGTCTTCCACTCTCACGTTAGTCACCCCACGGTATTAATTCACCAGGACATAACCACTGTGCTGGGAATCTACAGTCTCCATCATTTCACAATCAAAGAGTCCAGGCAATTCTGAGAGGGTTAATGCGTCATAGTTTGACTGAGACTCATGAGATGCTGAGCAGCTCTGACTGTCAGGCAATGCTACACTGCTCTGTTGTGCTGGGTCCATGGAATAGTGGCACTGGTCTGGGTAGTCTGGCTCAGAAGAGGTGACAACAGGCAATTCACAAGTCTGATATGAATATCGTAAGGACTGTGGTGGCTGCTGCACCTGAACTGGTGATGACAACCGTGATGAGCTGGTGATCTGGGAGGGTGGCAGTGGATCCAGCTGTACCTTCTGGTATTGGCTGAGGAAGGGGTCGTATTGCATTTGTTCTGAGGAAGGCTCCATCACAGGGCTCAGAGGCTGCTGCAAGCTGAACTGGGTTGATTGCTGCTGCTGCTGTTGTTGCTGCTCCTCCTGGCATGAAAGTGGCAGCTGACTTGACCTTGGGTATGAGCTCTCAGCTATTTGCATCTGGTTAAAATAGGCCTGCAGCTGGGACTGCTTCTGGAGAAAGAGTCTCTTCTGATGCAGCCTGAATGAAGGACATAAACAGCAGTTATTCTGCAGTGGGTGATTGGGAGGATGAGTGTGAAATTAAGTACAATGATGGAAGTAGTACAGTAGCTTCCTCCTGTGCTTCTGTGTGCCCATTAGCACTAAATGAAACACGCGGGTAGTTGCAGTCTACCTGCACCCCAGTAGGGTTAGCTGATAAAGAGCTCGTAGCATATAAGTTTGTAAACATGTGGCAGGACAAATTTGTAAGGACACAGTCCTTCTTTTAAAAGTGAAGCTTTCTTTATTCTCTTAAGAATTTCTAAATGGATAAAGATTGTTCCAGTTCTTTTATTGCCCTTGAGAGTAAGAATAACTAACTTACCTGCATAGTCTGAAAGCTTCTTACCTGTGCTCTTGTAACTGCTGTTCCAGACTCCGGGGCAATTCTTTGCAGTATAGCTGGCAAGTATTCTGAGCTTTTGATAGTAGACTTGGTTTCTGCAAGAGAAACAGTGCTGTTTTAAATTGCATTATGATTTAACGTGATAATCCAGAAAGCAAGTGAAAGAAGATTGTCTACTCTTATGACAGTGTAAATGCCCAGCTCCATTTTCAGAAGCTGTCAATACAGCTACTATCTAAAACCACAACTGCTACTGCTTATTGGCTTCTAACCCTTGGACAAAGAATATCTTTGCATGATGGATTGTACCATAAACCATAGAAAGATTTCTTCCCAAGTGAAAGAGAAGCTGCAGGCTGGAAAAAAACCCATTTTTTTAATAAACTGAAGCTATATGAAAATGATGGGTTTTAAAAAAAAAAGGTGGAAGGTGAAACAGTAAGCTCCAGGGGGTCAGAAGTGGCTCCTCAGATGCTGATACATAACTTTTATGGGGTGTGACACAGATAAAAGGTAGTCACTAGCAGTTACTTCTCATTGCCTTAATAGCACTATACAGTAAGAAACTGAGTAGGAAAACAGCAGTGATATAGTATACTTTTTGCATAATTAGGGTCAGGGTGTGAGAAAAGAAAAATACAGCATCATTTCAAATTCAGCTGTTCTCTGCTAATTTAGTCTTTGATTTTCCTGAGTAACAAGATCTAAAAGGCTAATCTGCTGTGCAGTAAGAGGAGCTGGTTTAATTCTGTGGAGGGGAGGTATGGTACCTGGAGCCTGTGTTGTAAGTACTGTGTTTCTAAGCTCTGCCGTCTGGATAATAATGGGGGATGTGCACCATTAGGGAAAGCAGATGCAGCTTCCTGCTGCTGCTGAGATGCTTCCTCCTGCAGAGAGAAGAGGAACAAGTTTCATCCCCAGAAAAGGCTTTTCTGCCTTAACCCTTTCTTTAAGGATTTCCCCTGATAGAGGTTTCATAGTTGCCATATGGACTGGTCTCTGATGTCACTCACTACTGTCACTGCATGCTGAGGACCCTAAATTCCGAAGCTTTGAACTATCTGTGCTGCAAAATGGCAAGGGCCATTACCTCTGTGACTAAAATGGTATTACAGATCATGTATTTTCTGACTCGCGTTCTGCAATAGTAAATGTACAGGGTTAGAAAACCATCCAAACTCTGAACGTGCTTTCATGCAGCTCTCCTTTCACAGCTTCAAAACGGAAGGTGAAAAGCTTTCCATAGTGGTGGAGAGGATATGCACGGAGTAGGCATCTCTAGCAAGCTGGAGGCTGCTGACATGGCAGGGGAGTGAATTGTTGTCCTGAGAATGCCACTGCAGCACGCTTACGTCAAGTGAGAGATTCTCGTGAAAACATTACAACTTTGTGGTTGTCAGAACTGAAGTTTTCTGGCAGGCAGAAAGTAACAGCTGGAGCTTTAAGAATAGCAAGCTTCATCTGGAACATTAGGTGCTTACAGTGCCTGTGTACTTCTTACCCATTTTATTCCTGGGGTTTAACAGAAACTTATTATTCCTGTTTGCTGTGACCTGTTCCATTTCAAACAAGTAACTAGGGAGCTGGTAGAAGCTACTTAGCATTTCATTACACAAATCAGGCTAACCATTACCACTCGGTTTTTGCACTTCTTACAATTACACCAGACCACTCCAACAGGGAAAGATGTTATGGGACTTTCTTAAATCTAAAACTTCTTTTAGATTAAAAGTGATAATAAAATGTTGCATGCAGAAAGCTAACAAGGCCATCTCACTGGCGCCACAAGGCTAGCCTGCAAATGCCCATTCTCTGTTATGCAGAAGATGGAAAGGAGAAGAGGGAACTTTATTTGTACATTAGCTCTTCCTCCAGAACACCTTATCATCTCCTTATCTGTCCCAAAGCATGAACACCTGAAAGACGGCGCTTCACTTTTGGTTTAAGTACCTGCGGAGGACTATTAATGAAGTCCTGCAACTGGGTGGCAGTTGATGTCAGAGGAGGTGGTTCTTCTGATCCCATCTGTTCATACAGCAACTGGACTTTATTCAGTTCCAGGATTCCTTTGGTTCGTGCCAGATTTTGGAGGTGCTGTCTAAATGCTACAATTCCTGGAGAAGAGTTGAGCAAAAAATCCTTGTCAGAAAATCGGTTAATTTGACTCTGGTTAGCAGAGCAAATGTGACATAAGCTGAGTGACAGCCAAGCCACAAGGTGGCTTGGTGCTTGTATGTATGGAGTACATTTACTACCGTGCCTAGGTATAATGGCTCACGATACTGGCTATAATTACCTTGTGTGAGGGATGTGTCAGAAGCTCTGCGCCCCTCTCGGAAACTGATAGGAGAGCGGTTGTGGGTCTCTCGCTTTTGGGAAGTGAGTGCCTGCATGGCTGGATTGGCAGGTCTTAGACCTATGAAAGGTGGTGTCATTCTGGGTGCTTGTTGGTTAGTTAGCACCATTTCTTTCAAGGAAGGGGTGTCTTCCAGGTATTTAATATCTCTCTGAATGGATCCCATGTCATACTCTGAATCAATACTGCCCAGCGATGAGTTTTCATCCAATGAGTAGACTTTCCCTGTGACAAAAACCAAAAGCCAGAATAAAAGGAAAGTACAGCAGTTATTTAGCAAAGCAAAGGAAATGCCACAGGCTCAAGCTATTCCTGCCAGAGGAAACGAAACAAAAAATGAAGTTTCATAAAGTAATTGTAATTTAACACTTGCAGTACCAAACTGGGGATTTGCTGCTGTTTTTTACGTTATTGCAGTGAAAAGATACTAGGCAGATGATGTTCACTGGCTTGTCTGGAAAGTGTTTGGTGTTGGGATTTTGTTTTTTTTTTCCATAGATCATCCTGACCAGACTGTAACCTGAGCTGAAAGGCTTGGTCATCTTGCTGGTTTTGGAATACCTGAGAATCCAGCAGGGCTTTTTTTCCCCACCACTGTCTTCCTCTGCCAGCACACCTTTAGGGGATGAATGATTTGGGGATATTTAGGTATGTGAAAAAGACCAAGCCAACTTGACAGACTTTACCAGTTGCTACTGGGGTTGTACATGACTGTAGCCAGCTGTATATTTGCTGCTTTGGTTTTATACTGTCTGGACAGCAAGTTTTGGAGTGTTTTGTTGTGGTCCCCCCATGCCCCCCCGCCTTTGGCCTTTATAACAAATGCTAACTAACAAAACCAATAGACTGTCTTGTGCTTATTGGCTTTGAGATGTCCATGCTAACTTCTGTACCTGTGCCTGGCATTGTGACCAGCTGGTTGGTAACTTCTGCCAGAGTATGACGTCGCTTCCCACAGCGAGCTGCTTGGAGGGCTGCAAATGCCTGTGCAGGGTCATCTTCTGACTCGCCTTCTGTCTCTATTCCTTCATCAATAGAAGTTTCCATCATGCTGGTAGGCAGCGATTGGCATCCTTTCCTAATCACCATGGGAGGTACAGGATCTAGCAGACAGCCATTTACCTAAATGGCAAAAGGAGAAGCTTTCAATTATGTGCAGAGCATCACCTCAAAGTATAAGAAATCTCTGTCATGCAGACTGAAGGCAGTCTGGTTATTTAAGCTTAATTTCTTGCACACCTTACTTTCCATTTGTGACTTTCCTATTTAAATGCCTTCTACTGATCAGGCAGCAAAAGCACTGCAGAGACTATTTAGTGAACTGCTGGAAAGGAAAAAGAGAACCAATGCTATGTGGACAGCTGGCTCTCTGCAGTTTACCATGGCACATGGATCAGAGCTTGGAAGTCTTTAGTGGACATATTCTCTAATACTTAAGACACTGAATATTCCCAAGTCAGTTGTGATTTGACACCTCACTCTAGTCACCATTTGTTGGTCTACTCTGGCCAAGCTGCATCTATAAGAGCAAAGAGGGATGCAAAATAAAATTTGAAATGTTAACTTCTAAACGTTTTTGAATGGCTTTTTGCTTTCCAGCTGTAAAGGGACCACACAAGGAGTTCCTTAAAACAGTGATGAGAACCAGGGCCACACTCTTAGTGTTGGTAACTAACCAGTAAGTGAGCAATAAAAGCTTCAAAATAGCAAGTGTGAAATCAAACTCCTAGCTAGCACCAGGCAAAATACAATATGCTGAAATTAAAGTTATAATGCGATGTGATATGAGAGAGAGAACAACAAAAGTTTCATGACAATAATAATGTACTTTATAAATGTAATTCTTTTAAGTGATTTCCCCTTCCTCACAAAAGCCCTAACTGCCAACTCCCATCCATGTATTCCACTTATTTGCTGCCCTGCAGAGTACTGTCACAGACCTCAAAGTTGCACAGCAAAATGGATCAGACTGTAGCTCCCTTCAGAGAGTTAAGCTGTAACCGAAACATTTGTAAGGCTGTGGAGCCATCATATCCTATTAGTTGAGTTCAGTTAAGTCTGTTAACTGTGGAGGTGTGGAAAGCCTACACAAAGTCTTCCAGTCTGATTACAGGAAACAAAACCCATTAGTTGAAGCTGCAATTTTACGTCGTCTCCAGTGAAGATTTTACAGGCATTCCTAGTTACAGAAAATGGCCTAGCTGAGAACTGCTCCAGCCTGTTTGAGATGCTGCAGTTCTAATGGTTTTTGACAGTCAGGAGGTCCTGCTGGCTCTTTACCATTCAACAAAAATTTAACAAAAACGTAGCTCTCTTGTCTGGCTTATTATGAAATTGGCAGAGATAGGGAATTCTTAGTGCATGGTATTTTAATCACTTTAGCTGGCAATGAAAGCTTATGCTTAAGGTTCCATTATATCCTCCTGTTCTCACTTGTCTGAAATTTTCAATGAGTAGCTGAGTAGGTTACTCTGGATATTCAGCAGTGAACCCTTTGTATTAGAATCTACAGATGAGGAGTCTTCTGGGATCTTAAAAATATATTTGAGAAGAAGAAAAAAACCCCCACTTTTGTAGGTTGATTTTTCTTTTACACACGACAGTGTGGCAAGATTGGAATGTAAGCAAAGAACACAAGAGGCAGATTAGTGAGCAAAACAGCAAGAGAGAAGTAGAAAAAGAATCTGGAATACCTAGAACTCTGATGCTCAGAGAATACTTAAATTTAGGGAAACAGGCAAAATGTGTTTTGTCCAGCTAGTACAAGAAATGTGCAAGTCAAGTGTTAGATACTAAAGGTCTTTGTTTTTCACTTGCTGCCTGTCCCGAGAGGTCATCTAGGAATAAGAACTTGCTGGAGATCAGAGTTTTGGGGACAACATATGCTTAAGAGTAAGCGTCTGGGAGCAGGTTGAGAACACTGGGTCTTTGAGGAGAAGGCCTCTGAAAGCGGAGAGAAGCAGTAGGGTTCTCCAGTTCAGCTACCTGCAAGTGTCAAGACAACAGGAGCTGTACTCAGGTCAATGAAGTGACATTAGTTTGAATTAGTAAATGCTCTGGCCCTGACTCCACAGTGCTTTGCAGTAGGATGATGAACTCCATCCTGTCAGAAGGAACCGAACTTCACTTAATAATTATTGAAGAGCTACAGCTACTACCACTAGCTGTGCTTTTACTAGGCAGTAATTTAAAAGGCAACAATCTTTTTTAGCTTTAATGATTTTTGACAAAACAGCAGGGTGATTTTAAGCTGTACCTTTGGTGTCTCAACTCTTTCTTCCTCCATAAATGCTGTCTCTCCCTGGCAGCTGGATGGAGGGAATGAAAAGGCTTCTGCTCCTGAAGCTGAGGGAGGACCCGGAGACTGCAACAACCTTGCATTTTGCGAGTGCAAGTTAACTGAGGGTACCACAGCTTGTGCCTAAAAAAAGATTTTAAGAACTCTCAAACCAGAAAAATTTTAGGTAGAAAACATACAAAGTCACAAATTTAAACAAAAAAAAAAAAAACCCAAACAATACCTAGCCCATTTCCAGAGCAGGAGAAGTGTAAGAATTATTTCCTCATTCTTGATGAATTGCATTCTTGGTCTTTAGAGTTCAAAAAAAGCACACTGCCCCCAACAACCCCCGACAACAAAGGTCATTAAGCCAGCTACTTACTGAAGCTGAGCACTTAACTAGCAGTAAAGACAGTGTTTGGGACCCTTTGGTGCCCTCCAACTTCTGACATTTTAGAATTCCCTTTTATATTCTTTGCAAACCCCCTTAATATTACCATCAGGCACAGGGCTAGTTTCAATGACTTTTCTAACGTGCACTGATTCCTGTATGAAAAAGCATGAGAGAGAATAGAGCAGGCTGGATCTGAAATAAGATATTTTAACAGAGGGAGCACTGTTGAAGAGAGAGGTGTGCCTCAGGGAAGGCAAGCACGGCATAATTAGGAAAACTGGTTTTCACTGTTTCTTAACCTTAATTTCCCAAAGTGCAGTATCCACACAACTTGCCTGTCCAAAAGGAAACAAGCAGCCTTATTACAGGAGCCTGTGGTGCCACCAAGTGTGAAAACAAATAATCTTGTTACTCAGGGTAACTGCAGGATTGCTTGCAGTCCTCAGGAAAAAGTGGTAACATGGCTATAAATTACACAAATTTCGTACAATAAAGAACTAGGTTCTAGGAGGTTTTTTTCTTCCCCCTTGTTCATCTGTCTCTACCTGCTTTTTAATACATCTTATAATTAACAATCTGCTTTTGAATACTGTGTCTTTCTATCATGAGAACTACTAAGAATAGCTGGTTTCAATCTTTGTCAGCCATATTGTTCCTGGACTTAGGTTTTCATAGTTGAAGTGATTTGGCTTTCACTTCAACAGAATCCAAAACCAAATAGTGTCTTGCTGTCTCAAGCAAAAAAGGAGAGGGGTGGTAGAAGACTCCCAGAAGCGGAGTCTGGGCACTTGTTCTCTCCAGCAGCAATACAGTACCTAGGAGGCTGTGAAGTTGAGAGAATGTTTACTTGAGACTATGATAAATCTGTGTCATCTTAGGCCAACTCTTTCATGTTTCCAGTTATGCATTAATAGAAATCAAAAGCTTTACAATGTCTGTGCATCTTCACGGAACAAAAGAACAAGGGGAAAAAAAAATATCCGAGAATTACTGGAATAAGACACAATAAACTGTACTTGACCTTTCTTTCTGAAGAAAATTACTAGGGAAGAAGCAGACTGAATAGCCTTAAAGCCTGTGCTGAATCAGTCAGTATAATTAAGAGAGGATACTAAGTAGACAGCCTTCTGCAATGGAAGGGGTGGCACCAGATGTTAAGGAGCACCCAGAATTGCTCTTGATAAAATACACGTGACATCCTTAAGCCTTAAATCAATTAGTCAGTCATCACATTGGCTCTATGCACATAGAGGTTGTGTAGCCATGCTGTGAAGTCTCCCATGAAATTGGGCTCTTGCTGGGTAACAGGAGGAAAAAGTGGTATAAATCTTAAAAGAAATGACGTTATTTAGGAACAAATCCCTGAGACTTGAGCCAATAAAGAGTCTCATGACAATGATATTTTTATTGGGTACTTAAGATATCACAGTGAATTGTCATCTTAACCTGATAGGTTGATCCTAATATTTTCTTTTTGGTACCTCTTTACTATTCTCTGGCATGCTTCATTTCATGGGAGACAGAAAGCATGCCTAGAGAACATCGGGGGAGAAAGTAATTTTATTTTCAACAGGTCCCTTTAGATCAACTATGTTTATAACACTAAGTAAAGCCTGCATGCTTTTAGCCCCCATGCTAGCACAGCTCTCCATAAATTCAACAGCTTGTTTGTCAATTGCATTAAAGATACTCCAAGTGTTGCACAGTCTCCAAAAATGGTATTTCTCTAACATTTTAACCCGTGACTTCTCAGCAAAAGGTTTGAAATTCTCAAAAATGGAAGCGTTACAATTAGAAGCACAAGCACAGCACTTTCCCTTTAACAGAGGAATAGACTGGGAGTTAAAGTTAAGCCACACAGATACCCATTAAAGCCAAAACCATTGTTTGCATTTTGGGCTTCTGAATGCAGTCAACTTCCCTTTCTCATTATAAACTTTAAAACTTATCCAAACCCCTTTTTTTTTTTTTTTTTTTTTAAGGGCTGGGGTGGAGGCAGCAGGAGCAGTTGTAGGAGTCATGCCAGACTGATTTGTCTTCATACAGTTCTGACTAGGAGGCAAAGCCAAAAATGTCTTTCCAAAATGATGCTGCAAGTCTACATACTATAAAAATCAGAAAATAGCAATGGATTCTACGTGCATTTTATGTAGAAACATCATTTTGAAAGAGAAGAATGTCTTGCACAGCCTTAAGCCTTACCTTGGCTACTGTCTGCTCAGCAATGGTGCTTGGCCGACGCTGACGAGCATCAAGTCTCTGTTCCACAGGGAAGCTACTCCGATGTGATTTGAGTCTTTCCACTAACAAGTAATAGATAGCAGCAAAGTGGTTGTAACTCTTGTTCTGCAGAGACTGAAAAAGAGAAGCACAACAGTGTGGGTGCAGCCAAATATCACAGAATCATAGAATGGTTTGGATTGGAAGGGACCTTAAAGATCATCCAGTTCCAACCCCCCTGCCAGCAGCAGGGACACCTTCCACTAGACCAGGTTGCTCAAAGCCTCATCCAGCCTGGCCTTCAACACTTCCAGGGAGGGGGCATCCACAACTTCCTTGGGCAACCTGTTCCAGTGTCTGACCACCCTCACAGTGAAGAACTTCTTCCTAATATCTAATCTAAACCTCCCCTCTTTCAGTTTAAACCCATTTCCCCTTGTTTTGTCATTAGTTGTCCTTAGGAAATATGCATTATTCTTTATGTTCTACAAGACCAGGAAGAACTTAGATAACAAACAGATCTCTAGATCTGACCAACAGTAGGCTGCAGCAAGTATCACCACGTAACAGGCAGCCCTATTGGGCTCTCATTTTTTACACAGTGCATGCTGTATTTCTATGTGTCCGTGAGCTTAAAGCAATTGCAACATCAATTTGTTTTGAAATGTGTCCTTGTTTAAATTAAATAGTTAATACACTGAAAGAACAGTACCTAGTTCTGGGATATGTGACCAGAACATATGCTTTTCCATGGGTTCTAATTTGTATTGCTGACAAATATATCACCAGTTTTGGTTTGTCCCCCACCCCCCCTCCCCTGCCAAGCTGTTTGAAATAAAGAATGTTGTGAGCAACTCGGGTAGTAAGTTCTAGTCATAAAAAACAAAACAGTAGACCTTCCCCTCAGGGACAAATACCTGTTTGAGTCTATTTTACCTCAACGGTTTTCTGTTGATCTATTCCAAGACTGTGCATTAGCCGTAAGACCTGCTCATTATACTCTCCAATGGAAGGCTCATTCTCTTCTCCTGGTGGATAAAGAATAGGTCGCTGTGCAGGAACTTCTATAAGCATCCACTTGTGCTCCTTAATCTGAGCAATAGTTAACCGTTTGGATGGGTCTAGGACTAACATTCTTCTAATCAGATGTTCACACTCTGTTGGGGAGGGGGGGGAAAAAAAATTACCAACCTGCTAGAAGCGCTACTTGCAGATATTCACCTGAGACCTACCAATACGGAGCATGACAATAGGAAACTGCCTTATTTCTACCTAACTTCTGTGCTAAATACGTTTCCTGAAGGCTAAAACAATCTCCTAAAACAAGATTAAAAGTCACATTAAAAAGGACAAACCCCTTTAAGGGAGCTTATCAATCTGCCATGCATTTCTAGCTGATCGTGATATGGCTAACAATTGTTATGAGTCAGTCTATTCAGGTAGTTATGTCACATAGTTTAGAGAGAGATTTCTGGCTGTTTATTCCTGTTGATCATTCTTGTTTCCACAGTTTTGCCAAAAGGCACTCCCTGTATCACCATGGATCAGCAAGGGGAGCGGCAAAGAGCCTGTGAAACAGCTCATCTACGCTGCAGTCACAGCAATCATCGCAACTCACACAAAAGCACCTGGATCTAGCTCGCATACCTATGTCAGCAAAGTCACAGACACACACAATACAGTTCAGTGCTGGCTGCAAAACGTGCCCAGGAAGCTGAGGGGTTGCTGTGGTGCCATAACAGCATTGCTAAGTGCATTATAGCTACGCTGGAGTACCTATTTTCAGAGGCAAAGCACAGGAGTATGTGCCACCAGAAAGAAAAAGAGGAAGACCAGAATGTTTTGCACCACAGAACCCTTAACAACAGGACTGAAAAACATATTTTTAATTCACTTTAAAAAAAAGGAGGGGTGGGGGGGCAGAAGGCACAGAAAGCAGTATATCAAAAGAGGATTTGATTCAGGAAGGTTGTTTTGAAGTCATCTGGTTTAGAGACTCTTTAACAGAGGGAAGCTGAAGGACACCATCAAACCCTGTGTAAAAATGGCCCCTCTTGTTCTTGTCTGAACAGGCATGAGGGAGAGTGAAACCCAACAGATGGAGCAGTTAGGTGAGGGAGAGAGGTCTCAGTCACACGTGGGAGTGCCAGATACCTGACAAGGAGAACGTGGCATATGAACTGGTTGCGCACTTTTTGCTTTGCTTTAGCAGACGCTGTCAAGAACCAGGAAACACCCAATCCGTGATTTGATTTGACTGCGATATTGCTGCTCTCAGCATATTTTCTTTCCACGTGAAGCTGTATATTGGCCTTGTGGGACGCAAGCTAATTGCTACACAAATGTGCCTCTCCCCTGGCATCCCCACGTTTCTGTTCACAGTAGGATGAGAGATCCTTCAGCTTCCATTTTGACTCTCCCTGCCCATGGGCACAGCCACGCTGCAGTCTCCAAACACTGCACAGGGAAAAAAAGGGTTGGTTTGCCTAGCACCAGCCTAATGGCAAAGGAATACAGCTCACCTAGGCTTTTTGTGGTATTTTTTGCAAAACAAATCACCTGACATACCACAATCTAGCGTGCAGATGCACCACCCTTTGCTGTATTGCAACAGAGGTTATTCCAGAATTTACTCAAGGATTATGCACCAAGAGGATAAGAGGACACGTTGTTACCTTCAGACATAAAATAAGGGATCCTGAACCTTCCTTCAAGAACTCGTTGCCTCAGTATGGGGAGTGTTGGTCCATCAAAAGGTAATGCTCCACACACCAAAACATAAAGAACTACACCCATGCTCTGTAAGAAAGAGAATATTCATTTCATTTTTCAAGCTACAAGTGAAGTCTCCGAGGATGGCTAGCCAAATCCTGTCACAGAAAATTATGTGTTAAAATTATGTTCTGCGGAAACAGGAAATTTATACAAAAAGGAGTTAGGTTTCTGAAGATCCCTAAACATTAAGAACACTCAGCTAACCCAAAATGGCTAGGCTTGCAGTACCTTGTGCTGATAGGCAGGTAAGCTGAAGTGTAATGGGTTAGAGACTCTGGCTGCTAGCAGGAAGCTCCACGCAGATGACTGAATGATACCTGCAAAGTGAGCCCCAACTTCAGGTGAGAATTAGAGATACTTTTTATTAATCTCAATGTTGTTCAAACAAAAACAAACCTCAAACAGCAGCGGCTCAAAATAAGAAACTGTAACCTTTTACATTTACCTATTTGCAAAAGCCTGGATAAGAGGCACGCTGGTGACTTCATGAACAGGCGGCTTCAGGGGAACACTGTTCTGCACTGCTGCATGCAGTGGAATTATTTAATATGAGCAAAAAGAGACAGGCAAGAGCTCTCCTCCTCGGCTTCAGGGGAACACTGCTCTGCACTGCTGCATGCAGTGTTGAGCATGAGGAATTATTTAATACGAGCAAAAAGAGACAGGCAAGAGCTCTCCTCCAACTGCCAGCCTAGTTTTTGAAAGTATGCAAGTTAACTGGCACTGCAAGTGGAAATAGTCTTGCGGTATATGCCAAAAAAATACAGCACCACACTAGATGAAATAACCACACCGGACCCTCATGCCAATCACTTGGCATAGATAACCACAGCGCTGGATTTCTCAGGGGAAAAAGCAGGCATTCAACATTCACCTTAAAACTTTGTAAGTACACCGAGATTTTAAAATGAAATCCGTATTTTAAAAAGTCACTTCCTTCCTTAACCTGCCAAAAACTGAGCTGTGGATTGTTAGGTTCCTCCTGCAAGCTTAGCACATTCAGCAGACCTATTTTGTGATTGGGTGTTACAAAGAGATACAGAATCGTTAACTCATCTCAGAAGGTAAGTGAAGATGATGATGATTTTATATTAAATATAAACACACAAGCACTTTTGTTTGTGGGCAGGCAGATTCTGTTAACGATTTAGGATCCGATACATTTAAAGAATATTTACTGGAGTTCAGAGATTCACTTCTGACATTCAAACAGTGCCTGTGCTACCTGAAACAGTGAGCGTAGCTGAGGTCTGCTCTATGTTTATTTATCAGTTACTAGAGGTTCAGAAAGGCTGTAGCCTTTTGAAAAAAATTAGCTAGCTGCATATATGTATGTATGTATATAGATACATGCATGCACACAAACATATGTATCTAAAATCACAAGTTTTATTAATGCAATTAGATTAATTTAAATGAGATTAGCAGCTGGAAAGTGACTTTCCATCAACTGCCCTGTTTGTGTAACAGGCTCTGACCAAAATGTCAGTGCCTGTGTTATTATACTACATGCAATATTATCACTGCAAACTTGATGCCAGAGCAGAGACTGCCAAATTGTACTGTCTCTGGTTGCTTGAGGATATGAATCCGTCATTGTAAGTACCAGAATACTAAAATTAAAAAAAAACAACCAAGCAAACAAAAACCCCAAACAAAACCAAATGAGGAATGAAAAGCAGTCTCTGACAACCCATGAAGGGTGCACAGAACTTCTTCAATTCATTTTAGTCCCTTTTCCATTGCATAACAACGTGGGTTGCACTCTCTGTCCTCTTCCACTAGACCAGTACGCATGGAGAGGCACCATTTCAACAATATGCAGCTGCCTGCAGTAAAAATGTTTGTGGCACAAATGTGCTTATTTCCAGCTCAAAGAGCAAAGCAGTCATCATCTCTCTTGTGTTTCAGTGGCTCAGAATCCCTTTAACCTCATCGAGAACTTACAGCCCTACAAGTTCAATTCCCACTTAACACTGAAGACACTAAATGCACTGAGAAAAGCAAAGCTCATGCATTCAGTCAGGAGAGCTTTTGGAGGAGCTACAGTTTTTCCTCTAGTGGGCTAACATACACCTTACAGTGTACATTTAAGAGCCACCTGGATAGGTAACTTAAATTCCATTCAATGTTAAGAGGCATTGTATGACACCCAAGAAATAAAGCTGAAGAGGAGCAGCTTGTCTGCAGCTTAAGAAAAATCAAAGATGATTCCTTTGTTCCAGCTTCCTAGAAATTGATTTAAATCCAGTTAAAAAAAGAATAATGATACCCAGATATCCAGCTGAGGTCCCTCGTATTGCTGTCCTTCAAAGACTTCTGGGGCTGCATATGGTGGGCTTCCACACCATGTTGTCAGAGGCTCACCACTCTTATAGAAATTTCCAAAACCAAAATCTGTCAAGAAATTAAGAGGAAAGTCACTCCAAACTCCAGTTAGGTGAGAAAGAATAATTACATGCATGGACTAGGCCTGAAAGCTCATTTTAATTCATGAAAGGCTCTAGCACAAATCCTTTTATCAGTACTCCGACTGAAAATATTTATTGGGAGGCTGAACGTCCTATACTGCTATTTTCATGACAACTATGCAGTTATTAAAACACTCTGCAAAACTTCACAACCTCTAGGAGTTTCGAGTAAATTTCTACCAGTTTGCTAAATTCAAGTTTATAAACATCTATCGCTAACATTCAACAAACTGACAGTCATGCATACAGATGAGCTTATTTACTTGCCAAGAGATAGCTGAGATTTACTACTGGATTTGAGATTTCTTGAGTTTTTTAACATGCTCTCTAGCCTTGAATACACAACAGTTTTTCACAACACAAGCATCAACTTTGGAGATGGGAGGAAGGAACTCTGACAAAAGCAATAAACCTGGGAAAACACAAAGCCTTTTGCTAGGAAGGAAACTCTGCTACTGGGATTGTCTACAGCCCTTTCAATCTACAACTGAAATTTACCATTCCACAACTAAGCAGTTCTTTTAAATGTTTCTTTTTATGGTTTAAAATGGGACCAGATGTGGGTCCCATCGGACTTCAGTATTAGTCACCGTTTGTAGTAATCCAATAGTGAAAATCCAAATGACAGCCACTATTGCATAGAGACATGAAGTCAGATGGAGTCTGATGCAGTTTGTTTTGGTAACTTCCTCTGTTGCTGCTCCCCCAGGTTGCATTTCTTTTTTTACTAGAACAGTACAGCAAACAACATAAATATTGAGGAAGCTGGCTTAATGACTGAACTGAAACTTAGTATTTTCAAAATGCAGAATTTCAGGTGGCTGCTGCCACTCCCTGGTGCTCCTATCTGTAGCTCTCTCTGCCTTCCACTCCACTCCACTCTTACTAATGTCTTTGTGGCTTTTCACAGCTCAGATCCTCCAGCTCCTCTTACATCCCGCCATCACTCTCACTCCCTTTACTTAGTTAATACATCATTTGCTTTAGCATTCTTTGCTCTTCCTGCCAGAATCCTAATAGTCCCTCCTACATCCACTACAGATATCCATTCTGAATACACTTCTTCCATGACACTCCTCAGTATTAACACACAAGGCTCTTATTCATCAGGCTTTTAATAAAAGCCACTGGAGCACAGTGTTTGGAATACACCTGTTCACACCATGAATCAAAATACTTGCTCCATCCACTGGCATCTAATGGAGTTTTCTCATGGAATTAAATGAAGCCAACATTTCTCCCTGTTGCTCCCAGCATTACCACTCTGTACTACTTAATCCTCTATTCCACTTGGCGTTGCAGGACACCCTGTATGTTCTCTGTGACAACAAATGCTGTTAATGCTAAAGTAAAGAAGGAGAAGTTCTCAAGGAGAGAGATCTGATAACAGGGACAAATATTCTTTGGATTTAAGGCTTTTAGGCAAACTGGCTTCAACTCACTAAACTGGTCAGCTGTATGTCTGAAGGAAATAGAGAGTGATGCATTGGCAAGTGACACCCAAAGGCTGTCAAGCACAGCAACGTTGTTTATGTTTGGCGCTGGTCTACTCCTGTGTGAACAATGATTTAACTGTTTCCTACTATTTTTTTCCACACGGGAGCAAACTATGCGGTAGAAGGTTACAGAAGGTCTTTATTGTCTTAAGGTGATAATGCTTTTACCCTTGTAGCTAATCGGGCTCCTGCAGAGTAATACTGCATGCTGGTGTGACTCCAGGAATCCTGTGAAAGTCAACAGTGTTGTTAAATAGTAATCAGGCTGTTGATTCAGTACTATCAAGTGCTGAATACCTCAGAGGTACATTACTACAATGCAGTGCTGATCAGATAGCAAAACTGATAAACACTGTGGTTAGCAGACACAGTACAGGCACTGCTGGTACCACTGCATTTACTTCTATTTGTATAGGTTGTGTTACGCAGAGGAAAGAGCCTGGCTCTCTTATCACACATCACGACCATAAAACCACGAGGGAACCCTCAGAATCAAAGCAATACAGAGATACTAAACAAAAACTTACCGGCCTTAGACAAAGTTAACCTGGAGTTGTTTCAGAGAAGTGGTATGGAAATTGACTCAGACTACTTACGCTGAGCTGAACAGTAAAGTATTTGGTTGCTTTCCTAACAGAAAGACACAAGAGCTCCAGCAGTTCTTTTAACAGAACTCTTCTTGTAACATACATCAAAAATGAACATAGGTGGAAGAAACATAGCCTTGTCATCTTCCTTTCAAGACTAGAACTATAGGGCTTATATGACATCAAATCTGCTAAAGTGATCCTAGTGAACAAATAAGGAGCTGCAGCCCATGGCTTCAGTTTGGAAGAAACAATTCATGAGAATCTGCTGAAGAAAGATGATGATCAGAAGCTTCGGACTTCAGCAAACTGCTTGGTAAATAGGGGTATAAGTAACTTGAAAACTGTTCTAGTTCATGATTTATCTTAACACATTTGATTTAGAATCGTCTTCTAGGGCAGCATAGTAGTATTTGGTGGATTGATTACTTTAAAAGTCTGACTAGAAACTTGAGTACTTTTAAGAAGATAAACTCCAGTTCAAATACAAATGATTGAGTTTGCTGGAAACAGTGATTGATTAAATCAGATCTACATTCACTCTAGCTCCTTAGAGGTTTATGTATCTGTGTGCTGACTGCTAATGATGAGCTGTCATTTTTGTGATGACACATGATACTCTTATCCCTCATCTATTTTTGCATTGTCAACACTCAGACTGGAAACTTAAAGAGAAAGACAAATATTTAAGCTTCATTCTACCCTTTTAACCTAATGTCCCTAAATTAATATTGTATTCCAGATGATTAATACACTTTGTTTGAAGAGAACAGCTTACACTACTGTAAATAGCTGGTACAGGTAGAACCCTCAAGAGGTTAAATCTCCAGCATCAGTCTAAGACCACTGTATTAGCTCGAAGTCAGAAAATCAGATACCCAGTCTCATGGCCAAGGTTAGCGGTGAACTTGTGGGACCTTTCAGCGACAGGCTGAAAGAGTTGTGGCTGTTCAGCCTGGAGAAGAGAAGGCTCCGGGGAGATCTTAGAGGCCTCCCAGTACCTGAAGGGGCTACAAGAAAGCTGGGGAAGGACTTTTCATAAGAGCAGTTAATGACAAAACAAGGGGAAATGGGTTTAAACTGAAAGAGGGGAGGTTTAGATGAGATATTAGGAAGAAGTTTTTCACTGTGAGGGTGGTGAGACACTGGAACAGGTTGGCCAGAGAAGCTGTGGCTGCTCCTCCCTGGAAGTGTTGAAGGCCAGGCTGGATGAGGCTTTGAGCAACCTGGTCTAGTGGAAGGTGTCCCTGCTGCTGGCAGGGGGATTGGAACTGGATGATCTTTAAGGTCCCTTCCAATCCAAACCATTCTATGATTCTATGACCTGTCCATAATCAAGGAAGAGTCCCACTGTAACCTGTCAGTAAGATGGCTACAGTGCCAGAAAGACTATTTGAAGGTGAGAGCACACACAAGATCCTTAACAGTGTCATGCTCTGCAAGTGCACAGAATGCCTGACAGTCGCGTGGACGGTTACACAATGGCATCCTGTCATGTCACCACACTCTGGAGGTACAAGCGGCCAAGGCCAGCTCGTACTCCAGATCTACATAGGAAACACTGAATGTAACATTCATGCTATCCTTCCTTTTACATCCTCTTTCAGTTCTGAAACAACGGCAGCTTCAGCTGTAATAACAGAGAGGGAAACAACAGAATCTTCTACCAAAAAAATCCCCCAACTGTTGTATGTCACCTGCCTTTTTCCTATCAGAGCTAGACCTTTGTCGTGAATTTTTTATTCTCTTTGAGGAGACCCTTCTTCACACATAATTGGCTTGGCAACCTTGACAATACTTCAGGAGACATGAAGCTATTTCTTATCTCAGAAGCGTTTTGCCATCTGTGTAGGTGTCATTAAATCTGATCTCTCCCTTCACTTATCTTGAATTTGTCAGATTTGCAACATCCTTTCAGTACTGCAGATAAATATTAATCTGTATCTCTTAACTGCAGATCTTACTCGGGTGCCACCCTCAGAAATCTTTATATCAGATTCACAAGTACATGTTCGAATATTTGTAAGCACGGCAAATTTTTAACCATGACCTGCTTGGAAATACAGAAGATTTAAGTTCCTAAGAAAGTGAAACTCTTTGCCTATCCAGACTGGGTTTAAATTTGCAATTTGGCGAATGTGAACACGTGGAAGCCACTTCAAAAAGAAACATGAACAAATCTGAGCAGCAGAAGACAGAAGAGTGTCTTTAAGTATGACTGAGCAATGTAAGACAAGCTTCAGGTTTACGTGGCATTTAGGATTTTTGGGTTTTTTTACTATTATCTTTGCATGCCTAACTGTGTAACACACAATAGTTTTATTGATGGTTACCAAAAGTAGCTCAAGAGCAAGGACGTCTTAGAACTGAATAGCAGGATCCTTGCAAGGCTGTTCCCTTTCCTCCTTATCTGAGCAACAGAAATACAGAACTTAAGCCGTCGAGATAGTGCTTGACCAGGTGGAACAGGAGTAACTGGCTTGCATCTGATGGTCTTGTGACACCATAGACCATTAAGTTTTATTAGGCAAATCCACAAATGAAAGGTCTATACATTGATACTAGAAGGAGTAGCCAAGGAGATACTCTGTATAAGCGCTAATACAACAATACTGGCTGTTTGGGTTTCGGGGTAGGGATGAGCACGAGGGGAATAGGCTGCAGAAAATGGATAGCCTGGTATATGCTCCCTGTCACTGCTAGATGGATCTGACCCAGTATGGAATTCCTCATGAATCTGTGCACCTTGTCTAGGAATATGTGTCTTAATAAACCTGAAAAATGGTCCCTTCGTTCTGTCTTTGATCTGGAGTTCTAAAACCAATTTCTACCCTTTTTCATGG